GGTGAGAACAATGTTGATAACGCACCGATGTTTTAGTTGTTGCGAGGTAATGCTTACACTAGCCAAGGACTTTTCAGCTTCCCATGCTCTACCGACTGAGAAGGCTGGGGGTACACAGGGGGCTGGGAGGGGGCACGGCCAGGACAGCTGACCCAAACTGGCCAAAGGGATATTCCATACCATGTGACGTCATGATCAGCATATAAAGCTGGGGGAAGAAGAAGGAAGGGGGGGATGTTCGGAGTGATGGTGTTTGTCTTCCCAAGTAACTGTTACACATGATGGAGCCCTGCTTTCCTGGAGGTGGCTGAACACCTGCCTGCCCATGGGAAGTAGTGAATGAATTCCTGGTTTTGCTTTGCTTGCGTGCGCGGCTTTTGCTTTACCTATTAAACTGTCTTTATCTCAACCCATGAGTTTTATCACTTTTACCCGTCCGATTCTCTCCCCCATCCCACCAGGGGGGAGTGAGCAAGTGGCTGTGTGGTGCTCAGTTGCCAACTGAGGTTAAACCACAACAATAAGCTTAGTCATGAATTCTTTGTAATGAGAAGGTGGCAATATAGAAATAAATATTTACAGCTAAAGTAGGCCTCTTCCAGTAATAAACTATTTTATTCTATCATTAAAGCAAGAGGAAGAAACAAAAAGACTGTGTGCAAGATCACTCCGTGAGGGTGTGGTAGAAGTTGCTGCAGGCACAGGATTGGGTGCCTCATACAGGGTAAGTGATATCGTCCCCTTTGAACGAGGCAGCATCTCCTACAGGTGCAGCAGCCACCTGCCGGTGCTGGAAAGTGCCAGCTGCAACCAAACAAGAAGCAGCTGCATGACTCTTTTCACAGTGCTGCACCCCATCCTGTCCTTTCCTCGCATCACAGCAGATTCAGGTGGCCAAAGGGACAGAAGGACATTCACCATTTTGATTGGACGTGCACAGCGGGGGGATCTCAGAGATCTCAGGTATGGCTGGGAGATGAGATCTTATTTTCAACCTAGATATTTCTCCTTATAGCCTTGGGCATACAACCTGGACCAAAATTTCGGAAGTGAACACACATACTTGGGCAACTAAGTCATCTAATCAGACAACCTGATTTTTTTCACAAGAGCTGTGCACATGTAAGCTCCAGTGGACCTCCTGCTGCAGTTGCTGGTGATCATGTCCTCTGCAAATCTGCTTATCATTTATGTAGGTGAATAAAGGGGATTTAAACGTGGCCAACACATTTGAGTGTTAGACTGAAACCCCGCGCCTCAGTTTCCATGTGTGTGACCTGGGGTTGCTGCTCCTCCAGGCCTGCCTTAAGAGTGAGGTTTTGCTTCTGAAAGGAGGGGGGGATTTGATACTGTGGAGTTGGGGTTTTGTGACTGTCTGTGGCCCCAGAGAGGGCCACCAAACCAAGCTGAGCATCTGTGTCGTAGTGCCAAGCAGCTGTGACACTGATCCAGACAGCAGACCAACCAAGTGCATGAGGCAGATCTGGTTACGCTCCTCTGTTCTTGACGCTAATAATCTCCATCCCACACCTGTGACCTAAGCTTGGTGCTTCTCTTTCTCTCTAAGCTGACGACTGTGGTGCGCGCTCAATAATTCAGCAGGGCCCCAGCTCATCTTTCCAGAGAACCAGGTCGGCCCCTTTCCCTTGAGTCCCAGCCTAGAGAGGAGTGTTTTCCTTCAAGACAGCCAGAAGCCACTCTCCACCTGTTTTAGAAAAGAATCACTTTCCCTGTGGTTGCAAACATGATAGTTAACACAAATTAAACCAGGGAAGACAGCAGTGGTGACTGTATCAATACTACGTTGACACCACAAGGTAAAGAGGTTCTGCACCCTCCTGTGAGCAGGAACAGGCACAGAAAACGTTGTACGGATCAGAAAATGTAGCCAGGGCTGGAGATCTAAAAAATCCAGAGCCCCGAGTGAGCAACCCCAGTACACCCAGCATCTTGACATCCATCATCCACTTTCCTCATCCTCCAGTGTCTCCACAGGGGCGTGGAAACCAAAAAGGCTGCACCGTTGCCCCAGAGCTCTAGCAAGAAGAGGGAGAGCACATCATCTCTCACCTTCAACTCCTGGAAAATTAAGGAAGCAGCCAGGGGTTTCCAGCTCACGCAGTCCCCACCTCTCACCTGAGCAGTACTGCTGCCTTCCCACCAGCACACGGAGAGGAGCCTATATATTCTTC